AGGCGCCCGCCACTACGCCCAGCTAATTCTTTTTGTATTTTTAGTAGAGACGGGGTTTCACCATGTTAGCCAGGATGGTCTCCATCTCCTGACCTCGTGATCCACCCACCTCAGCCTCAGCCTCCCAAAGTGCTGGGATTACAGGTGTGAGCCACTGTGCCTGGCCACTTTGAATCAATTTTCTAAGCGATCTAATTTTTTTTTCTTATGGGGTTCTAATTCTTCATGACATCAAACAAAAATGCAAAAGAGGAACATGTATAATAAATTAAAGTTTTAAGATTAATTAATTAATGTTGGGGCGTGGTTTTGAGACAGGGTCTTACTCTCTTGTCCAGGCTAGAGTGTAGTAGTATGATCCCAGCTCACTGCAGCCTTGATCTTCTGGGCTCAAGCAATCCTCCCACCTGAGCCTCCCAAGTAGCTGGGAACACAGGTGCACGCCACCATGCTTAGTTTTGTTTTTTTTTTTTTTGTAGAAATGGGGTTTTGCCATGTTGCTCAGGTTGGTCTCGAACTTCTGAGCTCAAGCAATCTGCCTGCCTTAGCCTCCCAAAGTGCTGAGATTATAGGCATGAGCCACTGTGCCCAGCTTTATTTTTTATTTTTTTAAGACAGGGTCTTGCTCTGTCACCCAGGCTAGAATGCAGTGGCGCGACCTTGGCTCACAGTCGCCTCAACGTCCTGGGCTCAAGCAATCCTCCCACCTCAGCCTCCCAAGTAGCTGGGACTACAGATGCACGCCACCATGCCCAGCTAGTTTTTTTTTTTTGTTTATTTTTTGTAGAGATGGTCTCACTATGTTGGCCAGGCTGGTCTTGAACTCCTGGGCTAAAGAGATCCTCCTTCCTCAACCTCCCAAAGTGCTGGGATTACAGGCATCAGCCACCACACCCAGCCAAATTGAAGCTTTTGACAAATGTTATGTCTTATCCACCAGAGCAAAAATGGCTATGCACTCTAATTATTTATTTACAAATCTTCATTCTAAAGAAGAAAACACACCTTATCATTGAAGAATATATCTAAGATTGACAGTCCATAATCACTTCGGTCCTCATCATTGGCAACTTCATAGTCTGCCTGATTGGAGAGATGGAAGAAAAGAAAAAGAGAAGTTAAGCTGGCGCCACACATGTGGCGGTGCATACCTGTAGTTCCAGCCACTCTGAGGTTGGGAGGATCACTTGAGTTCAGGAGTTCGAGGCCAACCTGGGCAACATAGCAAGATCCCATCTCTTAAAAAAAGAGAAAGTTAGTTAAGCGTCTTCACTAATAATGTTTCATTACGTTTCAAATTCTTTGGTTTGATATCCTCAGAGCCACAGACCAACTCTACTGATCAAGTGGCTATAGCTCTTCTTTCGGAAAGTCAGGTGTATGAGGGGGAAGAAGTCAGTTTTTTAAAAGAGGTTAATGAAGTTTTAGAGCAATGCTTCCCATAATACTCTGTATATTACACTGCATCCATTAAAGATATCTAAGGGCCGGGCACAGTGGCTCACGTCTGTAATCCCAGCACTTTCGGAAGCCGAGGCAGGCGGATCATCTGGGGCTGGGAGTTGGAGACCAGCCTGGCAAACATAGTGAAACCCCGTCTCTACTAAAAATACAAAAATTAGCTGGGTGTGGTGGTGGGCACCTGTAATCCCAGATACTCAAGAGGCTGAAGCAGGAAGAATTGCCTGAACCCAGGAGGTGGAGGTTGCAGTGAGCCGAGATCATGCTACTACACTCCAACCTGGGCGACAGAGTGAGACTCAGTCTCAAAAACAAACAAACAAATAAACAAACAAACAAACTTCAGCGCTGGGAGTTCTGGATACTGTGTGGTATGCAATTAATGGAAGAGAAAGCAAGTCTGATCCTGCGACGGTCCTTCACTATGCCAACTGGGCAGGCTATGAGCCCCAGTTAGTCAATCAAACACAAATCCAGGTGCTGCTGGGAAGATACTTGCACATGCGATTAAAATCTATAATCAGTTGGCTTCAAGGGAAAGAGATTAGGCCAGATAATCCAGGTGGCTCTCACCTAATCAGTTGAAAGGTGCTAAGAACAGAGACGAATCTTCCTGGAGGAAGAAATTCTGCCTGAGTACAGAGCTTCAGCCCATTTCTGGAGTCCTGCCATGCCCCTCCTGACGGCCTGTCCTACAGATTTCAGACTTTCCTAACCAGACCCCACAATTATGTAAGCCAATTCCTTGCAATAAATCTCTTAATATCTCCTCCTATGGGTTCTGGTTTTCTGGTTGAATCCTGACTGATACAGATGCCTTCATTCATTTAATGAGCAAGAAATAGGGCAAACAACCACGCCAGGTGCCATGAGGGCGAAATGAGTAAGACACAGTCCCTTCACCTGAGAAGCTCACGGAGCCTGTCATCACCTATCACCAGGATAGTCAAAGCAGTAAGCGTGACAAAATGGCACAGACATTTCTGAACCTACACAACTGCCATCGAAAAAACAAAAACATAACCTGTAACCGCAGTCACATAGCTGTCACCACATAACTACAGGTATCACGACAATATCAGAAGACTGCAACCTAAAATAGAGTTTCAACAATGCAGTTTAGCTATTTTAACATAAGGAAGACTAGCAGGTCCCTAAATTCTTAAAATACAGTGGCTTGGCAAACATTACCCACTACATGAAAACCTATACCCTGGGTTCCATCCCCCGAACTGAGTAGGCATGGCCCAGCACGTTGGA